ACTAGCCGTCCCCTCCTCTGATTCTCGCCCCTCAGGGACTAGCCGTCCTCTCCTCTGATTCTCACCCCTCAGGTACTAGCCGTCCCTCTATAATTCTCGCCCCTCAGGTACTAGCCGTCCCTCCTCTGATTCTCGCCCCTCAGGGACTAGCCGTCCCTCCTCTGATTCTCGCCCCTCAGGGACTAGCCGTCCCCTCCTCTGATTCTCGCCCCTCAGGTACTAGCCGTCCCCTCCGATTCTCGTCCCTCAGGTACGAGCCATCCTCTCCTCTAATTTCCGCTCCTCAGGCAACTCCGTCCCCTCCGATTCCTGCCCTTCAAGCACCGCTGTCCCTCTCCCTCTGATTCCGCCCCTCAGGTGAAGAGTGTGCAAGGCTGGCGTGCATCTTCTCACAGCTTCTTTTCTGTTCACACAAATGCACAGATAAAGAGAATTCCAACTACACTTCTCTAATCAGAGGATGGGAGGATATGAATCCCACCACAGGATCTTACTGGACACAAAATAAAACCAAAGCTCTGCCAAGGCTTCCAGAACTGCAAGTGACAGCTCCAAGGGCAGGAAGCACCCCTACCCCTGCCATCACCCCTCACACAGGGAAAGCATACCTGGGGGTAATCATTTAAGGAAGTCTCAGGTTTTCCAAGCAAGACTGCACACAGGAGGAAGTGAACACCCTCCTCATTGGCCAACACCCATGCCAGGCTAGTCATGCCCAGAAGCCTGTGGGACAACACAGAGTCCAGTCCTCAAACTAAGCTCAGAGTAGAGGCACACAGGCCCCTCGTGGAGACAATCAGCACCAGGGACACTCACCCATGCCCCATGGAAGGAATCAAAGATGTAGCCAGCACGGCACAAATGAGCCCCAGTGAAATAAAATATGGAGACTCTGCCACATTTAAGAAAAGGCAAGGACTGGGTGGGACAAAGCATGTAAAAGACAACGAAACCAGTCTGGACCAAAAGACAATCCAGGGAACAGAGGAAAATTTCCAATGGGTGTTTCATGTTCTAGAAAATCTTATTCAGAGCTTGAATTCCAAACAACAAGAGCCTGAGTTTGAAGAGAAGACAAAAGACTAACAGTGGGGGTAGCCCTGGAACAGATAAATAAGTGCCATGTAACAAAGGTACAGAGACGGCTCCCTCGGATGTGAGCAGTAGTCAATGCTTACTAATGCCAACATTCCAATGAGGAAATGATACATCACCGCACAGGTGGTAAAGGACAAGCAACAAAACATTTGAGGAAAAATAAAACCAGATCTCACACCAAGAATTTTAGACTGTTTTAAGTTATTTTAAAAAAGTTTTTCTGATTACAAAATCAATGCCTGTAGTAAACATTTCAAACGTTAAATATATAACTTATCAACTTACAGTCTGCGAGCCCCATAATTAACAATTTGGTACTTATTTGCTCAGACTATTTCTACATATAAACAAATACACATACATAGTATTTTTACAGAATTGGGATCATATTCAACATATTAAATACTTAATATGAAAAACAAAACTACCAAACTATTAGGACACAGTATAGGTGAATACGTGCATACATACATATACATATACTGGAGTGGGGAAATCATTTTGTAGCATAATTCCAAAGGCAGAAATTATAAAAAGACTACTAAATTTGATTACACAGAATTTTAAAACTCATATATGTTGGAAAGCACTGTAAAGAAATACAAACAACACAGCAAAACTCTTTCTAATACACATGCCAGGCCAAGGGTGTGGATCCAAGCTTACAAGACGCTCTTTCAAAACCAACCAGAAGTAGAGGTGTCTATCATGGATTGACCTGTGTCCCCCCAAAATATGTGTCAACTTGACTAGGCCATGACTCCCAGTACTGTGTAGTTGTCTTCCATTTTGTGATCTAATGTAACTGTCCCATGTGTTGTAAATCCTAATCTCTGCCTGTGGTTAATGAGGCAAGATTAGATTATGTTAAAGAGGATTAGGGTGGGATGCACCTCCCTTACTCAGGTCACAGCCCAGGGGAATTTCCCAGGGGCATGGCCTGCATCACCTTTGGACCCAGGTCCCTGGGCTGAGAAGCTCCTAGACCAGCGGAAGATTGATGACAATGACCTTCCGCAAGAGCCAACAGAGAAAGAAAGCCTTCCCCAGGAGTGGGAGCCCTGAATTTGGACTTCTAGCCTCCAAGACTGTGAGATCATAAATTTCTGTTGTTAAAGCCATCCACCTGTGGTATTTCTGTTAAAGTAGCACTAAATAACTAAGACCAAAAACCAAACCAAACTCGTTGCCGTTGAGCCAATTTCGACTCATAGTGACCCTATGGACAGATTAGAACTGCCCCACTGAGTTTCCAAGAAGTGGCTGGTGGATCTGAACTGCTGACCTTTTGGTTAGCAGCCAAATGCTTAATCACCACGCCACCAGGGCTCCAGATAACCAAGACAGCAGCTCACAAAAGAATGGACACTGCACACGAAAGGACAACTTGCAAAATGAAGAGCACAGAAGGGCCACTACAGAAACTCACCCCACTAGACACTAAAGACATCCACACAGATCAGAGAACGACCCTCTTGTTGTCACACCAGCAGAGGTCAGAGCCGGGAGATGCCCACAGTGACAGAGGGGAGAAGACACCTGCTCTGAGACACGGCTGGTGGGACACACAGAGAGAATTCCTCCCTGGAAGGTGACCTGGATGTGGCTTCTACCAACGGCTACTATGGAAACAACGGAACCAGAGGCCCCGAGGGTCTTGAGGACATCGTCGCAGAATGATTTATGACAGGAAATCTCAAACGGTCTTCTTGACAAGAGGCCCCTGCAGCAGAAGGCCACCTCCCACAGACAGTCCCTAACAGGGCAGTGACGACCCCTGGCTCCCTGGAATTCAGATGAAGCTACTGGATTTTCCTAATGCAGCTGCGTACCCTGACACATGGGCAGCATCACTGCCTGTGTTCCTCCAGCTCCCGTGGGACTGGACACACTGGCCAGGAAGCCACCGGCCTCTCTGGCCTCAGACTGCTGACCACCCCCCAAGCCAGACTCCACGGTCACCTGCCCCACCATCATAGGCCGAGGGTCACACCACGGGCTGGGCACTGTCTGAGAACAGTCAAGGCACAGGGCATCAAGGGGTCTGCCCTGCCCTCCCCTCTCCGTCTGTAAAAGCCTTTGTGACCTCAAGTCTCCGTCCCTCCAACTGCCACCAACATGGCCCACACCATAAAGACACACCCCATGCCATGTCTCTCCAGAATGCGCCTGTGCTGCAGGAAGAATGGGTCAGCACCCACTGTGAAGCCTATGCTGAGGACCATGGGGGAGCTGAGGGAGAGGACAGAGGGGCAGAGGTGTGGGGGAGGGTCACACCAGACACACAATTTGTCAAGACTGAGAGCTACAGGACTTAAAGTGAAAGCCGAGACAGGTCCAGAGCCAGGATGCCCAGAGTTACCCGACTAACTGAGATAGTGAAGATGCAGAGGGTTCACGTGGGGCTGGGGACAATGGCACCAGGTAAATCAGGATGAAGGGAGGAGGGGGCACAGAGGACGCTCATCTGACAAATACATCCTAAGGCCGACCTGGGGGAGGCCGGGAGTGGGCAGCAGCATGGGCAAAGGCCCAAGGGGAGCCAGCCAAGCACCGCGGGGACATCACAGGGGCTGGGACCCTCACGACAGGCACGGCCAGGATGCACAGTATCCAGGAACTAGTGCTGAGAGATCCCTGCTCCTAAGAAAGGCAGCAGAACACGCCTGTGGGAGACAGCTGGCCGGGTCAGCGCGGCCTGCAGAGCGGGGCTGGGGTTACGGCTGGCCAGGTCAGTGGGGCCTGCAGAGCGGGGCTGGGGTTACGGCTGGCCGGGTCAGTGGAGCCCGGAGAGTGGGGCTGGGGTTACGGCTGGCCGTGTCAGCAGGGCCTGCAGAGCGGGGCTGGGGTTACGGCTGGCCGCGTCAGTGGAGCCCGGAGAGTGGGGCTGGGGTTACAGCTGGCTGGGTCAGCAGGGCCGGCCCAGAAAGAGATACGTGATACGAGGAGCAGAAGGCAGAGCCTCAGGGAATGGCAGTGGAGAGGCAGCAGATGCATGCAGTCCTACGGCTCAGACTTACCGCCGTGCAGAAGTAGCCGCAGCCCGGGCAGCACTGGTGCTTCACCATCCGTGCCCTGTGGTCCTCGCACAGCACCAGGAGTGGCACTCTGTTAGACGGGCGCATCAGCTCGAATTTGGCCACGCTGTTGGTGCACCGGCCTAGCTGCAGACAGACAGACACAGGTTTCAGTGACAAGGTGCAAGGGAGGCTGCCCACCTGTGCGCTGGGCACCGAGGGGCCAGGCCTCGCAGCGCCAGCACACAGCAGGCACTGAGCACACGTTTGCTGACTCAGCTGACAAGAATGTGCGAGTGCCTCCTCAAACCCAACAGGACAAGAGTCAGAACTCGAGGAAGAACACAACAGGGATGTCCTCCAACCAGTCGAACGGGAAGACAGCAGCTACACAATTAGTCAAGAGTACGTCCAGGGTGACAGGAGCGACAGTGTCTGCGTGTACGCTGTAAAGAGAAGCAGGCTGTTCCCACATGCAGAACAAGGAAAATGTCACAGTGAGTTTGTATCTGCGCTGGGTATCGAAGAAAAATGGATGTACTTGGCCAAGCAGGACAAACCAGGCCAAAGAATGTCACAGGCTAGAAGTGGGGACAGCAGCAGGGTGAGTCTGTGAAGCCCCATCTGCTGGGGTGGCTGGAGCCACCACACACGGAGGTGACGGCTGAGACTGAGAGGCGGGACGCACAGCACCTGGAGGGCCTGACGGAGGCCAAGGGCCAGCAGACCATGATCTGAAGGTTCAAGCGCAAGGCTGTCCTGGAAGGGAAGAGACCCCCTAACATATTGCTCTCTGCAGCACACCTGGCGAAGGGCTACCCATTCGCTATGTACAGCTCTCTTACAAACAGTAAGGAAGGGATAATAACCCAACAGCAGAATAAACACAGAAGTGATCGCAATTGACCAGAGAAGAAATACAAACGCCCAAAAACAAACGGCAGAGGGTCCAAACATCCTGCTAATCAAGGAAATGCACAGTGAGAAGCCTGCACTAGTCCCTCCACTCTGCAAGCCAGCCTGTGGGCCCCAGGGAGAAAGACATCTGACGCTGCTGGCGCTGTCCAAACTTCCTGTCAAGCAATTTGGAAACATGAGCTTGCAAATGCATATTCTTCTCTAAAGATCACCTGAAGATCTAATTGAACAAGTGCACAAAGATACGTCCACAAAAGTCCTCCAACAGAGAACTGGCTGAACAACACCCACTGAAGTCCATGCGCAAACAGGAACAGCTCATATCACCTAAGTCTGAAAGGCTTGTTAGTGGCCAAAGATGAGAAAACTGAGCATCAAAAATACAGAAATATTTTGGGGAAGACAGCTGCAGCCTCAGCAGTCTCCTGGAATCTGCACATAAAAACAGACAGAGCCAACGTTCTCTGGTGGTTACCAGGGATGGGGAGTGGACGGGGCATCGCTCTCTAGACAGGAAACACTTGTTATAATGGGGTGATGGGAAACTTAACACCAAATGAGGGTGAAGTGTGCACAGACTGACCGAGATAAACGATGTCACTGAGATGTACACAAGAAAAAAGGGCATTTCGGTAACAGCTATGGTATGTATAACTTTGCAACGAGAGCTACAATAACCAAAAAACGTATGTGTGGGTATATATGCATGTTGTAGGCAAAAAAAAACAAAAAAACAGAGCAACTAGTGAGCAAAACCAAAACCCATAGGCAACATTACAACAAAACCAGGTGACTACCACAAACACAAGACACAAGTGGGCAGAGAGAAACCACCGTGGGCCATGAACCCTGCATGGTCTTGAGTCTGTGCAGGAAGAGAAGGCAGGGAAGCAGCGTCTGTGGGCCCCAAGACCAGGAGAACCCAAACTACCAAGAGGGGCTCGCTGGGGAGGACCGGGGGAGGACAGAGCTCAGCTGACCTGTAGAGGCGCTACCCACTCCAGTGCGGCATGAGTCAGGGCTGCAGCTCAGCCTCCAGGAGCCCTCAAGCTGACCTGCTGGGATGCCCTCAAACTGACCTGCTGGGACCGCCTCTGGTGCAGCGTTTGGGAATGGAAAAGCTGTGGGAACTGAACCAAACTGAACCAGACGGGACAACAGAAATGAGGAAAAGAGAAGCTCTCACTTAGTGGCCCTCAAAAATCTCTGGCTTCGGGATCTTTTTATTCTTTTAAAAGTTATTAAGGATCCCAAAGAGCTTTCATTTTCGTGGGTTGTACCTATCAGCATTTACCATATTAGAAATTGAAATAGAGAAAATTTAAAAATTTTATTTACAAATAACAACAGATCTATCACGTTATTATAAACAACATATTTTAATTAAAAAAATAGCTATTCTCCAAAGCAAAAAAATTTTAATGACAGGTACTGTTTTATATTGCTTGAAAAACTCTAATATCTGGTTTTTAAAAAGACAGTTGGATTCTCATATCTGCTTCTGCATTAAGAGCAGACAGCTGCGGACATTAGGTATTACTCAGATAATTATAGTTGTTCTTTGATACGATACCAAAACTCAACAAGCAGAAACTTCTTAAAGATTAGTTGCAGTGTGTAATCTCGAACCATACTGAAAACTTCCTGATACCCATTACATTAAGGCCCATGGGTCTAGCACTCTGAATGATCTCCTACCAGTGCGTGATTCTGTAACACAGTGGAGACCCACGGCTAACGGAGCATCCCAGGCCTTCCGAAGACATGGTGCAGAACTCCACTGCACACCAATGAGGGGAGAGAGGGAAGAGGCACATGACTTTGGAAGAGTTATGAAAATAGCTTCGACCTGCAGAGCCCAGGAAAGAATCTTGGTGACTTCCACAGGTTCCCAAATTACTCCTTCTGAACTACTGGGGGAAAGGAACAGAACCAAGAAACCAAGTGAACCACCATATTTTTATCATTACACAAAAGTAACAGAAGAGGGGGCTCTGTGAAGTTAGAAAAGCCTTCCTAAAACTATTCCCTAATAAAAATGAGCAAGAGAATAGAAATGAAGTGAAATCTCACATAAAAAGTCTAAGATAGAGAAGAGAATAATCTCTACAGACAATGAAAGCATACCAGAAAGATCTGCACACATAACAGAACTATAACCTGCTGTTTCGAAACAATCTAAAAGATATTAAGAAGATGACACAAGAGATGAAAGAACAACATAAATGAGAAACAGAAAAACTCAGAAACAAGAGGACAGAACTCAGGAAAGAATCAGAAATAAAAGAGTAATTAGAGACTTAAAGACTAAATACCAGAAGAGAAATAGAAGGTGAAAAATGGGAAAATTGTAAAAGTCCAAAGGAAATTAAAAAGATTCAAACAAAGACAGATATCGAAGATATAGACAAAAAACGTCTACCACACAAATATGAATTCCTGAAGAAGAAAACCAAAGGAAGGAAATAAAACCCTAAAAGCTAACGTTTGAGAAAACGTTCCAGAAATTAAAAAAAAAAAAAAAAAAAAATGAAACTATATACTGAAGAAATAAATACCTTAAGCATCTAGAAAAAAGAAGCATGTGACTTATAAGCAAAACTGACTTTCGAGCATAAAAACCAAAAAACCCGCTGCCTTCAAGTCGATTCTGACTCACAGCAACGCCATAGGACAGGGTAGAACTGCCCCAAAGGGTTTCCAAGGAGCAGCTGGAAGATTCCAACTGCTGACGTTTTGGTCAGCAGCCGAGCTCTTAAGAGCTGTGCCACCAGGGATCCTTCGAGCATAAAGGGCAGAGACAAATCGTCATCGACATGCAAGACCTCAGGGAGTACTGTTCCCAGGAGCCCTTCTGGAGGAATCTACTAGAGCCCTAGAAGTCACTCAAACCTACTACCTATCTTTATAAACAGAAGTTTTAGTGGAACACAGTAATGTCCATTTGGCTACTTTTGTGGCAGAGCCAACTAGTTGTGACAAAGACTGTCTGGTCCACAAAACCAAGATTTACTATCTGACTCTTGCTTCCCACGTTCTCAGGAATAAGCTTGAGACAACCAAAATATACTAGAGGACTGGAGGGAAGCATTAAACACAGTTTATCTGTAAAACTAACACGAAATGAAGGCTCAGACAGAAAGCGGACTCCCTGGGTAGTGCCAACAGCTGGGTGCTCAATTACTAGTCAAAAGGCTGGTGGTTCAAACCCACCCAGAGGCACCTTGGAAGACAGGACTGGCGATCTGCATCCGAAAGGTAATATGGTCTACTATTCCAGGAATGATAAATTGAAGAAGAATGACGTTGCATTCACTGTCAAAAAGAATATTTCAAGATCTATCCTGAAGTGCAATACTGTTAGTGGTGGGATAATATCTATACTCCTACAAGGAAGACCAGTAAATACAACAATATATTTATTATTGAAGATATATCTTCAATATCTTTAAGACCCTATGGAGTAGTTCTACTTTGCACACATGGGGTCACCATGAGTCGGAGTCAGCTCGACAACAACAAAGAGTGAAGATATATAATAACTTTATGCTCTAAAAATGTAAACAAAGCTTAGTAATTTTTAACTGGGGGGATGGGGAGAGCATATAGAAAAAATGTTAACATTTTCCATAAAGATACTGTGGTTACACGAACATTGTTACTCTGAGAATGTTGGTGTGTAATACAAGATAAAATATATTACTATTTATGGGATACTCTACTAATTCTATCACGTCTTGTGACTTTGAAAACCAGGATTCTCAAGGCAGAAGAAAGGAGACATGTGTAATGCAGATAAGGATAAGAACTGAAGGTATGGCTACAAAATCAGGAGGCATTTCATCTCACACAAACACACACACACACACACACAGACACACACAGACACACACACACA